TTCGTATACAAGATATGGTATACATATAAAGAAATCATTAAAAAGGTCGGTGCTGCAGGAATCAACGTAATATATTCTTTATTTATATTTACGGGAATTATATACAAACAATTGTGTGTCGTGTATAATCAGAACGAAACCAATAACAAAATAGGAAAAACACGAATATAAGATTTCAATAGATGGCGCCCTCTAGAGACCTGGCGTATCCTCGGGCGCGGACATCCGGGCATTTTCACCGCTTGGCAACCGGCGGCGGTGAAAACAAAGGCCCAAAACTCGCAGAAAACCGTACTTGACTGTTGAGACTCCTCTGAACAGTATAACAAGATTAGCCCTACGTGTGTAACATATATAAATTTGGTTGTTCGGGATTACTTCAAAGTTGAGTTGGTGTTGTTTTCTCGAATTTTCACCGGCTCGACCGGCGTTCCACAGCAGCGCGCACAGAGCCCATAGAAATGCATGTACAGTGGTGCGCGTCGTAGCAACGTGGGACGCCTTGTGACGTAGCACCGCCCCCGAGGATATGCCATGATTTCGGTGACGACATGGCCGTTACAAATGAAATATTTTATGAAAAAATAGAGCAAAAATATCGATTGTTATAAAAAATAAACGGTAAGTTTGAAATACGTTCTCAGGAATGTTATTCAAATGATTAATTAACTCATAACGAAGCCACTAGTGTGTACACGAATTCCTGGACCACGATGAGTACGTGGGTGAGGATGGAGGGCTCAGTGTGAGCGCAGTACAAGTTTTGCCGTCGATTAGTCGTATCAAAACGACATCATACAACCTACGAGATTAACCATGTTAATAATTTATTGCGTATACGCGGAGATCGTATTATTCCGCAACTTGTCAGCATATTTTGATTCGTTGGCAACCTAACTACAGAGGGCATGCTACATAGGATATATACACTGGCACAATACACAAGTGATATGTGGTCACAATAGAAATACGCCTTTGGAGGGCCTCACTTGCCTTACATCATGGTGGTCATACTATCAAAGTATCAAAGAGCAACAGCAACAATTATACTCAGAAAATAACATCCCAATAAAAACACACCTGAAACTATTTGACAGCATAATCAAACCAGTCCTACTCTATTGCAGTGAAGTATGGGCTAGTGATTGCATACTACAATTCAAAGATCTTCATAATAATATGCTTCCTATGGAGAAGCTACACATCAAATTCTGTAAATATGTGTTACAAGTTAACTGTAAAGCTAGTAATTTAGCATGTCTATTAGAACTTTTTTTTTTTTTTTTTTTTTTATTATTATTATTATATGATATTAAAACAGTACAAATACAAAATAACATAACATAACATAATGTCTATTAGAACTTGGTAGGTATCCCCTACTTCTAACGAGCATAAAGCACTTAATAAATTATTGACAAAAAATTAAAAATAAAAATGAAAATACTCTAGTTCATGAAGCATATCAACTTGGAATGGAGCTTGACAAAAACAATACATCTGACTGGGTAACTGGTGTGAAAAGCATACTAAAATATGTAAATGAAAACAATGTGTGGGAGAACCAACATCTGCATAATGCTGCCTCTATAACAAAAAAGGTTATGGACAATCTCCGAAAAATATTCAAAATTAACAGTCAAGAAAAAATGCAGGATGACAACAAAGGAAAAAACCAAAAAAACAAATTGCGCACATACAGAATGTTAAAAAATGACTGCTCATATGA